GTTCCGTTGCCGTTGCTGTTGCCATGGTTTCGTTGCTGTTGCTGGTGTTGTGGCCGTGTTGCTGTTGTCGTAATGGTTGCGGTCGTTGTCGCTGTCGTCGTCGTCGTCGTCGTCGTAGTCGTGGTTGTCGTGTGACCTTTGTCTTCATCTGCAACGCTGGGCACGCTGCAAGTTCACTTTGAGACACTTGTCAAGCAGCGGCGTACCGGGGCGTACCGGCTTTTGTCAACTCGTTTCGTACGGTATAGTCGCATATAGTTGCTACGGGCCTCAACTAACAACGGATCCCAATTTCGGAGTGTCGGCTTCACCTGACCCGCACAAACTCGCTGAAACTATTAATCCCATTACACGGTAAGTTCGTAGTAAGGCTCACGTACACACAAGACCGCCAATCGCACTGAAAACCAAGTTGTTATGTGCTATGTAACCAAGAACTCAATCTGCATGAATAGTGGCCAACGAATGCCAAAATCCCCAAGCGATCCGTCTACGGCGTGCAGGCACTCCGTTTTGCAGCGGAGGAGTTTGCCTGGCCTGCTTTGAGCAACATGACCGCCAGTGTCTGGGCCTGGATGCAGCATGGTAGAGTAGAATAGAGTATAGTGCAGTCTTCTGAAGCATAGTATGGTATAGTATAGTATATTCTGCCATACTAGCCGCATTCATGCTTGAAAACCTTACTATGGGCCATGCGAGAATCCTTTCGGCGTGCAACGAACGTTGCAGCTTCTAGACCTTCGAAGGACCCTGCTGTCCGGAACCATGGACAAAATGATGCGGAGCGGTACCTTCCGTGTCTTGAAGCTTTAGTGTGTGTGTGTGTGTGTGTTTGTGTGTGTGTGTTTGTGTGTGTGTGTTCCGTCTCACGAAACTCAAGCTTGTCTAACTTGCTCACTCCCGTGCTTCGTGCGCGTGAACGTGAGGTCCTAAACACTCAACCCGGAACCATGCGCCTCGCGACGCCAGATTCTATGAGTCGGGCGTGGACGGCGCCTTATTACCCACCTCTGCAGCCAGGGATTCAGAGGTTTTGGTGTCGGCTTCGGGCGTAGGCGGGCAGCATGTCAATACAGCTTTGGCGATAGAGATGAGCTGCTGCTATAACCTCCGGCTTGTGTCTTATCTCTTTTTCTACTGCAATCATGACGACAATTGCTTTATGATTCTCAACTACATTTTGACTCTCCCTGCAATTAAGTACCGGACAGTTTGCCTCCATTGCATGACTGACTGCACACCTGCCACGGATGCTACTTCTGTTGCTCCACCATTGCTGCTCTTGCTTCTATGTCCACAATGATTTTGCTCGTCGCATCTGGTCGCAACAAGTTCCACAAGAATGCACTGGAGTGTTTCATCGGTACCGTGATGTTGGTTCACCTCAACAAACTATCCTGCTGTTGCTGCTCCTGATTCCGCTTCTGAACTTCCGATGGTCCTGCCACTGCAGGTTGTGAATTGCTTACTGTGGCCCTTACAAATGATTTCGATGATTTTACTGTCACGAAGAACGTGTTTTGTTTTGATGTCACAGCCGTTATGACATCAGCACCACTAGGACTGGGCCGGTTGTTTCAGGCTTTGACAATAAAGGTTGAATTGCTTGGATCCCACGCTCAATTGTAATGCTGCAGTCTTTCACATAATTTAGTAGGAGCGATATGCCGCAGCGGAAACCGGTTCGGGATTTGAGTGGTCAGAGAGGCAGGGTTTGCTTTCTTTTCATATAGAAGGAGATTTAGAAAAGTGTCTTTGCTTCGGGCCTTTGTCAGCCACAAGCCGGAGCACAAGATTGAGGTGAATGTTAACCTCCTCATCAACATGGGGAACGTCGGGGCCCCGTGTCTTGCGGGCATTTACATATGCCATGTGATGCCAGCAGTTATGTACGTCATATACTCACGACTTCCGTTACACACTTTCTGCGCACTAAATTGCGCTCGAAACGACAAGTGGGCTCGGAGTGTCCAGATCTCCAGCAACCTTAGTAGACCTGTACCCAAACACGAGTTTGCAGGACCAGAGGTTGGGAGGCGCTGCGCGTTTGGAAGCTTTAGAGCTGCAGCAGCTTTCCGAGAAGACATGCGGTCGGGCTTGAAGTGCTGGCTCTAGCAGGTACAGGGGAGGACTCCGTTGGCTCCCATCCGCCACCGAGGACCACCAGCAGACAATTCCGCAGACTACACTTTTCCTCGACCACCAAGACACCACCAAGACGCCAGGAGAGCACCAGGAGACCACCAAGAGCCCACCAGCAGACTGGCACACCAAGAGGCCACCAAGAGACCACCCGCTGACCACGAATATACCACCAGGCGATCTGCAAGAAGCCACCCAGAGACCATCAGGAGACCACCAGGAGACCAGTAAAAGAGTAGCAGGACATTACCAGCAAGCCGCCAAAACACTGCCAAAATGCTTTCCACCAAGTACTGGAGCACCCCGAATGCTCTTTTTCCAGAGCACAGTGGAATCGCTTTCCTCCGTGTACTGGCGGGTCCAGGACCAGTTCCAAACTGCTTTCCCCAAGTTTGGGAGCACCAAACTTATTGTAATTATGGTTTCCCCCCATTGCTTGCGGGATCCAGAGCGACGCCCCGAATCCTTTGGACGCACCACCGCCGGACGCATCCTGTGTAAATCATAGGACGAGGGGAACAGATGTGCACGCGCGAAGCCAAGATTCTGTGCACACCGTGCGCCCCATGTCAATTGTTTCTCGTTTACTTTGTCATTACCACGCTGTTCGGGGAAATTTGCCACGGTACGGCTCAAGCCAACTATCAGTTTTGTTCGAACCAGGTTGCTGGTGTTGTGATTTTGCAACATCTTTGCAGCAATGACCGACGCGGCTGTGAACGTCCTCGCCAACATGACGCAAGAAGTGGCAGACCCACCTTTGACAGCAGTTGAAGACGCAGGTGCTGTTGCTTGGATCTTGAC